CAGATTATTACTCACTAAAGATAAATAAATCAAAATTAAGATTTTATTTGTGATTTTCAAGAAAACTGAAGAACTGTTTTCCATTATTTTTCTGATACCTTTTTATCTTTAGTTTTCTTGACTTCAATAATAGTAGTATTGCTTTTATTAAATTCTTGTTCAAAAACAATAAAGACAAAACATAAGAACATATACAAGGTAATATCTCAAAAAATTTCAAACCAAGCCCGATATAAGCCTTCAGTTTGAATCAAATAGTAAATATCCTTACACTGTTAAACCAAGCCAATTCTGAGAAGAATTTTGTCCTAAGCTCCAGGCTGAGAGTCAATGTTAACTAGTCTTTATGATAGATAACTATCTTAATCAGGATAAAAATCAATGTTACTATTTCACTGATGAAGCCATAGCAAAAAGGCCAAAATTTAATTCCACAAATGTGGTTTTCAGTAAATACCTAATTTTTTCTTCTATTTTGGATTTAGGACAAAAAATGCATTTTAGTATGTTTACATTTGAAAGCAGACACTTTCCATTTCACTTCCTCCTAGATCTATATGTTTCACTAAAAATTGCCGAGCGTATAAAAGTACAGAGTAGTTTTCCCAAATGTGTAAATATATTACTCTCTGGATACTCTGAACTACTGACCTTCCCTATGAAGTAGGTGCTGCTAAAATGTCAGTTAATCATGAAGGTGTTCCACAATTGGCTACCCAGAAGCAGAAGGCAATTTAAAAGAGCAACTTTAACATGCAATTGCCTAAGCATGGAATGCAGACAATTCCTGATGATGGCATGTTTTCTCTCCATTTTATAAGAAAGACAAACTATTTTCTTAGCTTCTATACCAGATGGTATACCCAGAGGAAACAGACACATAGAACAAAACAAAACAAAAAAAGGACATACTTTCTCTGATTGTTCATTGGAGTTTGAACTAATTCACATTTATGTCACTTTTTAAAAATTTACAAAATAGCTGAGGAACCGTATGCGAACAACAACATGGGTCAGGCTGTATGTTCACAGTGAGATAATCATGTCCCTCAAGTTCACAGAGGAACATGAAGCAGGCGTAGCTGGCTTCAGCCACAACAAGCTATAATTACTACTTCTCCCACCTTGAGATACCCTGAAGCAGGTAATTGCACTTACCAAATGACTTTAATGTACTTTAGAAAGTAAACAAAAAAAAATAGCTTTGCTAACTAGGTAGGACATTTTCATAAGAGGATAAACTAAAACACTTTTTACACCTTTTCAAAACTGTTTAAAGTGTATAAAACACAGCTTATATTTGAGTGTTAAGCACCAATCCACCGCGCTTTCAATAAAAGTGAGGCTGCAAGCATTAAACTATGCTTTCTCTGGGAGTAAGTTGGTTGTGATAGCCTCTAATTTAAAAAAAATGTACATGTCTCTCAGATTTCACCTGTTATAATTTTATATATTCATTCTGTACTATTTTAAGAGAGGAGGAAAGGTCAGTTGTGTTAGGAGTAAGAGGGAGAAGAATTGAGGCTTTTAAAACAACAAATAATAAGGTTGAGACCCAGCTTCCCAGCTGACTAACATTGGACAAGCAGCTGATTGTTTTGCCCCTTCCCCATTTCCACTCTTAAAATTACTTAATACAAAAGTGAGATAATAATACTAACAGAATGGGTGGGTACATGAAATATTATGTTATATATTCATTTCATAGGGTGATTCTAAAGTAGTACTAATCAATAATTAATTATTAAAAATCTACATTCTCCTTCAAAAATGTAAAACTTTATTCATTATACACATAAGTAAAGCCTTTCAATTGGCTGGCCGTAAAATTATTTATTGACAGATTCCCTCCAAGTAAAAAATATTTACTATTGCCAGAAATAAAATGTCAACGGATTAAATGCATTAAAATAGAACATAAAAAATAGTAAATAGCAACTAAGGTACTCTTCATAAATTGTTCCTCTGTGATACAGAAAAATAAAATAAGAATTTGTGAAAGGCAGAAAATAATCATCATTCTTCTGTAACTTACAAAACCTTCTTGCAAAAGAGATCACACACACACTCACACACACACACACACACACACACACACACACACACACTGAGCTAAGCAGTACTTAGCTTACTTTTAAGGCTCATTGGTGGTCTAACATGTATGGTGTGATAAAAGAGCTACTTCAAAATAATCAACATTTATTCAATAAGATGATTTTAATGGTAAATCTCCACAATTAGAAATCAGCTTATTTCTATCATGATCAAAGTAGACTGTTTGCATGTATGTAAATGGCAAAATGATACCTGTTAAGACTACTCCAGGCAGGAATAGTGGGAGGGGGAATAATGGAGAGTGGTGGAAGGGTGAATTCAAGTATGATATATTTGGTATACGTTGAGAACATTTTTAAACACCACAATGTACCCCCACACTCAGCACAACAATAAAAATAACAAATAAATAAAAAGTAAGACTGTATAGATTGACATTTCAGTATTCAGGGCGGGTAGTGTTTAATAGAATGAGATGGGAACTTTCACTAAAGGTTATGTTTGGTATCTTGAAGGGATTATTTCCCCAGATTACAAGTAAGTATTAAGCTTTTGAAATCTTTACTAAAATCAACTAATACAATAGGGAACATCATAATTTCAACTGACATTGACTTTATGTTTAGATATACAATGTTTAAAAATAAATACCACATATACTTCCATGAGCTCTTCCTCCTTTTCTAACATTAGAGTAAGATTAGTAAACATTATAATGAATCAGTAACCATGGTTTCTCTCAAATCTAAACTCTAGTCTATATCACTTGCTATCTAGTCTATATCACTTCTCCTCTCCCAAACTCCTACATCAGACAAATCTTGTTGAAGACATCAATTAACTATAATAAATGTATAATTCATCATGTGTGAAAAAGAGTGTATTAAAAACAAAATTTCTACACTGGGAAGTAAGGCAACAAGTGATTCAGTTTGATACTACTTAATTCCATAAAAAGTAAACAAGTGTTTCCCAAATACAGAATTCAATAAAAAGACCAAAATAATTCCCAAATGTCAAGGCATTTCATAAGTTAGAAAGTAGTTATGAATGTAAGCTATTTTTATTCTATCCACTTCCACAACAATGATACTATTCTCAGAATAAAATACCTCAAAGCACTTCACTGGCATATTTTTACTTATTGCAGGTCAATATGCACTCTGAACAGAGGCATTCAATAGGGATAAATTGGTGTTCATTAAAATGGTGTTTTCAAACACTTACAGTATAACTCACCTTGAAACATAGTCCAATTTACTTGAAATCTCCATGTCCCTTACACTAAGGATCAATTTTAATAGTCCCTAGCTTAAACAAAAATTATATTACAGTAACATATAATGTGACCTACTGCTAATTTTTAAAGAACTATTTTGATGAAAATAAGAAAAGTAAAAAAATAAAATGCATTCTTTAAAAGTAAGGAGCCCGGGTAAAGGACTCAAGGAAAAGATCATTAGTTATAAAGATTAAATGTAGAAAAAGATAATTTTATTAGATAACATATGTAGGCAATATACTCAGTCGAAAGGACTCTATGGATCATTTTAACAAGTTAGCAAGGGATATTCCTCATTGTTTCCTCTTTCAATTACTTCTCTGCTTGTTGAGAGGTAAACTTGCCCCTCCCTTAGAAAGTTTACTTTTCTAAGAACATTTGTCTCATGAGCTCAAATAGGAGCATGCAGGTCTACAGAATATTTAAAAGTAGCCTATGAGATTCATGCTGAGTCATGGAGGCTTGTACGGTATCTTAAACTGCTTTTCACCTGCCAGATTTAAGTATGAGACCAATCAACAAACTAATGGACTCACTACAGTCTAAATAGCTAATGAATGGCTAAGAAGTTAAACTTCCTATTAGTAAACAGCTTTCAATAGATGCTATTAGTATATAAAAACAGCTGGATTAAAAGATGTTTATGGGTTATAGTATACCAGGTAATTGAATGAGGTTTGCCTTAATTGTAGATCAGAATTCTTGGTGAGTAGCCCAATAATATTTTAAATACTAAACTGATGTTCAAGAAACAAAAATTTTAAAAGTATTAATATTACATGGATTTCCAAAGTTTTAGCTTTCACTTTCAGAAATGAACTCATTAAATGTTCAAGACAAATACATGTACTAATTCTGTAGTTATTTCAACATAAAGTTGGATGGATAAAAAAATACCTCCTTAAACTAAACTAAAAATTAAGCTATTTTTAATAATAAAATAAACGTCACTAAAATGCATTCAAATAACATAGATGATAAAATTTTTAGTGTCTTTTGGTAACTACCAACAATTACTATCATTATAACAATATGGTGTAGTAAGGAAAGTAATCATACATTTCACTACATTGTTTTTCTATTCTTTCTTTGTGTTTGGTTTGCACATCCTGTTTGTCAACAATCAGGTTCAGGCATGGGGAAGGCAATAACAAAGAAAACCTCTCTGCATTTTTTGTGGATGTCAAGTTACTGAGCTAATTCTCAACAATATGATTTTCTGCACAAAATAGTTACTCTTGCATAACTTTTGTTACTATATTATAGGAGTTGCCCTCTGTACGAACTACAGCAAATTTTTGAGGAACATAATTTCCACAATTAAGTTTTCAGTATTTGGTTGAACTGAAAAGGTATCTCGCAAAAATACTCTCACTTACAGTATCAGAGATCTGGGGGTTTTTTGGCTGAAAACAGAAAACTCATCAAATTACCACACAAGAAAAAATTCTAGTTTCATAAAAATACTAGAATAAACACTCAGATTGTTTTCATACCAGCCAAATTATGACATAATTAATGTGAAGAATCACCTAATTCATTGGAATTCTTAGGAAAGTGTATCTGCATCATGCAACAATTAGAAGTTTTAAGACTGCGTGTATATTACATGTCCTAGGTAAGATTCCTTCACAAGGTAGAATGGCCATCTGTTCAGTCTTACCTGCACATTTTGTCCTGGTGATTAGTGGAGGTCCTGGGAGCCCTGTTCCTCCCTCACCAGGTCTTGTCAGTAGGACACGGATCTCATATTCTGTATCGGGATCTAAATGCCATAACTTATAAGTTGGAGCATTGACTGCATGGGTTTCTGTCCAGGATCCTGATGTCATACGATATTCCACTTCTTTCAGGATAATGGGACCATCACCAATGATGGAGTTGGCATTCAGTTGAATCAGCAAATATGTAGGCCCAACTCCAAGCAGCTGGGGAGGAGCAATGGGTCTTGGTGGTTCTAGGATAGATGAGCGTGAACTCTAATTAGATAAAAATGTAACATATTGCAAGACAGAGATATATTAATGTCCTTTAAAGCATAAAGTTTTAGCAAATGAATTATTTAGGAGCACGTAATACATATTTAAAAGAAATTCAAGATAGGAGTGGTCAGGCAACTGTACTTTTAAAGAGCACCCACTTTTGTGAAGGCTTCTGATCATTTTAGCACAAGTTTTCTTTCAATAAAAACTCCATCTCCAAGAAATAAACTTGAACAGGCACAGTAAACAAGGGATAAAAAGAAAAAAAATATTTGGAGGTAAATAACTCTCATTAGCTACTAACAGAGTAATTTCTGATATTCTGTGAATGTCTAGTGGTATTTTTGGTTTCCCTCTGTTTCCTACTTCTCCAGAGCACAAGAAAATGAGATAAGGAGGAAGACACAACAAAGCTAAACTCAGAAGCTGATACCAGGTGCTAATTTGTTTGCACATGCAGCAAGAAACTGAAATTTACACCTAGGCAAAATCCAAATCACTATCTCTGGCCTTTGGGAATAATATTTGATAAGGCAATGTATCAAATATTAAATTCAAATGTCAAAGATACTTTACAACTTAATTTGGACTTAGGTTATTTTGTTCAAAGAAACGCAGGTGAAAGACTGGGATGACCCTGGGAAGGAATGGAGCAACAGTGGCGCAATTGGTCAGGGCGCAGTACTTATATGACTCCATGAAGGATTCCATGGCTCTAATTCTGTCCACATGGACTGTCCACAGTGAATAAATAATATGTTCATGTCACTGAGTTGTAATTAGTACATTGTGTGTCGGGGGGTGTTTTTACACTTTTAGGATACTTGCCACACTTCTTGGGTAAGTTAAAAATCTTTAAAGGAAAGTGTTAACCTTAATAAGGTGGTAATTACCCCCAAATTGATTTAAGGATTATTTTGTAGAGTTTGAGTAAATCACATAAAGGAAAACTATTTAATGCAACCACAAAATGCTTCCTCACCCAGTCCCACCCCAGATAGAGGTGGACTGGGAAAAATACAAATATAGGAAAGTAAAGAATGCACAGTATCTTTTGAAATATTTAATGCCAATACACTGCAGGAAAAAAATATATATATAAAGGGGAAAAAACAAGAAAAAAGATAAAGGAAGGAAGGAAAGAAGGAGGGGAGGAAGATCCACAGAAAGGCCTTGCCTTCTTACACAGCTGTCAGTGAATTAAGAATTTCAGCTGTAGTGCAGGACTTGCTTTGTAATTCTCATTATATATAAGACCAGCTTATATGGATCTCTACACAGGTTACAGTCATTTAAGAATATTCCTTTAAAGTTCATGAAAAATATTTGTTGAAAAATTACTAATTAATAGGCTGTTCTATGCTTTGGGGTATTGTATATAATATTGTGTGGGAGAAATAGTCACAATAAATTTATTATTTTAAAATGAGGGTTACATATGAAACAAAGAGTAAGTGTACTGTTTACTAGATATAACAAATATTTTTAACTATTCTAAGTCACTTTAAGAAAATAAGTAATGCCCCTCAAATGATCATCGTTTTAAAACTAAGGAAAGAGGTTTCAAAGTAACTATTGAAAGAATAACATAACTTTTTGTTTCACTATGCTCATGTTTAAAATGAAAATAAAACTAAAATCGAGGAACATAGCATACGCTATATAAATTGTACTCACTTAGAAATATTTCTACAGAAAAGGAGTTCACACGGATTCATCAACTTTAACTATAAAATCTCTGATCCTAATGGTTTGCAAATTGTTTTAACAATATGTAGTTGAAAATGTCTCCCAGGTGCACTATTTCCAGTTTCACAAATGAATTCAATGAAGGTATTCTCAAAAGTAAAAGCTTAATCAAACCAAAATAGTTTAGAATTTTCATTTATCAGTTAAAACGAGAAACAGCTATACATTTAATAATCTTAAAATTTTATGAACAAGTCTAATAACTTTCATGTTTAGCGTTTACAAAAGTTTTAGCAAACAGGGAGAAAATGAAAGCTAAAGTTTATTCTCTAAGTCCTAAACTAGAATGAAACTGAATAGAAAAATGAGCATAATAGGAAAAAAAGTAAATGTTTTTCCCACTCACTATACAAATTTTAAGTCACTCTGTATTTTGTGAATAAATTGAGTTGTTTCAAATGTACAATGCAATGTCTGTTTTCATTTTAGATGGCTCATATACTAACTTAAAGTAGAAAGCAATACAAAATCCATAGCTCTCAGTTCCACCACTGTGCAACAATGTCTCACTCATTCTACAATTCAGCAATTACCTGCAGAAGTCTGAAACTTAACATGATGAATGAAAAGGAAAAACATGGAAATGAATTATGAATAAAAAACTCTGGCTGATCTACAAATGTATCATTATATAGAAACCTGATCTTATGTGTGTCTATCCAATGCTAGACTCAACCATCAAAATCCTGGATACCCTTGCCATAGAAAATATGGAGCAAACAAAAGGGGAGAGCAGAAGACAGAAAGGAGAGGAAGGGAAGAAAAAGCTATAGCAGCATCAGAAACAAGCATAGTCTTCTGTCATTTCTAATTGAAGGCAATGACATGTAAATAAAATAAAACTTAGAACCAGGAGCCTAGTTTCAAAAGATACACATATTGTAATGGCAGAGTAAACTCAAACATGTTTTAGCTTTGCATTATATGAAAATATTTAAAAGAAGCTATACTTCTAAATACATAAATCCCTATATGCAATGTTTTTGCTTTGTTTTTCTCTTTAGACAGCCACTTTGTAAATTTTAAAACCAAATGTATTCAACACTAATGTTATATGAAAATAAAGAAGTGAATTTAATGTAATTGGTGCCTTGGCCCAAAAAAAGGGTAGTATTGCACTCTGATCAGTTCTATATTTCATTGCTATGGTCAGGCAAAAAAGGCAGTAATCTAATAATAGAAGCAATTGCTCAAATTTTGAACTGTGGCAATATTAAGAGAGGCTAAAAAATATACATTGATTAACAGCATGATTATAAGAAGTGAAACTCACATTAATGAGATTAATATAGCACTACATATTAAATTTTTCATGTTGGAGGTAAAAAGTGCCTTATATTAGCATATGCATTTTGTTTTTAGACCCTTGAGAAAAAGGAGATTTATGTGCAAAATCCCTATTCATTTCAATAAATTATGCATGAATTTTAATCAGTTAGCAAATGAATGAGTAATTGTTCTGGAGTAATATTAATATTCTTCATAACTTAATATGCTACCAGACTCAAAGGTGTGGTGCAAATAAATCCCAACTGTATACTAGGTATCAAGTGAAGCATGCAATTCCCAAAATATGAGATAAACTTTGCCGATGTTACCAATTAACTTTCAATTAATGACTTACATTCATTATTCTAGAGTCAACCTATTATAAAGTCCCAATTATATATTCTAATTGCCTTATTTGTTTTATATTTCAAATAATCATTAAAAGCCTCAAAATCAAGTAAATCACTATAAAAGTATATTCTTGTCCAGCTATGCTCATTATGATTGTATTTTATAAACATGTGTGGCTTATCAAAATTTAGCTAATCAATAAAATGCAAAATCAGAATAGAAGGCACAAAGCCAGAAAATGTCAGTAGCAAAGTAAATGTCAAGGCAAATAACATGTCCATATCCATCTTTCCTAATAGATAAACTAAATACTACTCAATCCTATTGGCTTCTTAGTAATTGTTTTCTTTTATCAATGAGGTCATGACATAAAGTATCCTAAATTTAACCCTCCCACCACAGAAGCAAGCAATAATATCACATCATATTTGGCTGCTGCAACAAACTGCCACAAACTTGATGGCTCTTTTAGAAGAAAAGTCTATTTGCTTAGAATTCTTAAAGCCAGAAAACCAAAATCAGTATCATTTGATGGAAATCAAAGTGTTAGAAGGCAATACTTCTGAGTTAAGAAGTGGCTCAGGTAGACTGCTTGCAAGACAAGCAAAAGGCCCTGAATCAAACCCCAGTATTCTCCAACCCCACACACAAGAAAAAACCTTCAATTGAAACACACTTCAGTTGTGCTTTACATCAAAAGAAGGTGAAGGCAACCTTGCCTCCTCTTCTGTCTATAGTCAAATCTATCCTCCACTTTCCACTTAGGTGGACACTTGTAATTTCATTTACTGTCTGCGTGGATAATTTAAGACACTGTCAACATTTTCAAATTCCTTAATGTAATCACATCTGCAAAAATTATTTTACTATAAAAGGTAACATTCAAAGATTCCATGGATGAGAACCTGACATATTTTGGGGACATTTTTAGCCTACAATGAGCTATGAGCTCCTTCTTCCTGGGAGATAGCTCAGTTCTACTTTCACCCAGTAAGTAACACAGGGATGATGAACCTTAAAATGTTAAAATGGCTACAGAAGTCAGTCCTCCCTTACCATATAAAAAATTTTACAAAAATTCAATTATTAGAGACACAGAGACAATTTCTTCTCTGTTATCATTTTGTTATATAATGGATCACTTGAAAGCCAACTTTATTCTGTTTATTATTCCCCTAACTGAATTTTTGATCCAGCTGTAATTCCTGCTAAAAAATAAATTTACAATGTCCATGTTTCCTACTGCTTAAATTTCTTTCCCATCAATTAGTGGTGTTATAAAGGATAATGCATATTAAGAAACTGAAAGAAAAAAGAATGACATCATTCTACCACATATGTCAATATTTGTCAAATATTTGTAAACTCCCCCTAGTAATTTTTACCTTTATGATTTTAAATTATTCTTCACTAGAATAACAACAAATTTAATGGTTCTTGGGTGTTTCAAGAGCTGTAAAATAATATATCTGATGAAAAGGAAGATAAGTTTTGCCTTATGAGAAACAAAAAGCTGGTTATTCATAATTAGAAGCATTTTCTTTGCTTAATATCATAAGTGACAACATAATCTCTTCCATTTTTTCTTAGATGTTAAAATGTGAAG